GTCAACCATCAGAATAGCTTTAACTTACACATTGCAGAGAAAACGAGACAATGTGGTGTCTCATGCCTTACATTAAACAGTATTCCAGCATAGTCTCACCTGCTTTTGTAACATTGAGCTGTTCCTTTTTAAGAACAGATGCAACCTCCTTCTTGACAATCTTTATTCCTCTTACAGGCTTTTTGGCATCTGAAGTGAAAAGGAAACATTTTTATCCTCCACAAAACAAATAAAGCCTATAAGTCCATTTCCCTTTTAGGCTCAATGTAGGTTTCCTTCTGTGTGAGTACAGCTAATGCTAATGAATTTTTCTTACAGGTCCACATCAGTCATCCAAAACAACAACCAAAAACTGTTTTAAAGACCATAAAATACTGTTTAAAGTCTGACTGTTAAAATCTAGAGTACTGTGCTTTTATTTTTTTTACTTTTTTCTTTGTAGATTTAACTAAAAAAATTAGAACAAATGATTTGTTTTTACACCAGACCATTAATAAAGTTTCCAGCACCTATACAGGTGTTCTGGTTGATCGAAAGCAAAGGATCTAAAGATAATTTGCCAAATTGTCTGATATGTGTAGCCGTAACATTGAGTCAACCCTGGAGTTAAGTTGAGTAAGGTGCCTTTTTATTCATTTCAATGTATTTATTCATATAGCGCCAAATCACAACCACAGTTGTGTCAAAGCTCTTTATATTGTAAGGTAAAGACCCTACAATGATACAGAGAAAACAGAGAAAACCCCAACAATCAGATGACCCCCTATGAGCAAGCACTTTGGTGACAGTGGGAAGGAAAAACCCCCTTTTAACAGGAAGAAACCTCCAGCAGAACCAGGCTCAGGGAGGGGTGGTCATCCCCTTTGACCGGTTGGGGGTGAGGGGAAAAGACACGGGACTTAAAAAAAGTTCCATAATAGTCTGGTTCTTTGGAAGCAAAATATATAGAAATGAGTGGCGGCTTAACACCTTTGCACAGTACTGTAGATAAATAATTAAAATTGAATACAAAATGTTCTCATATATGACTGTTTCTACCTTTTTTGGTTGGTTCTGGTTTAACTCTCTCTTTCAGTGTCAAAGGCACTAACAGAGGGGAAAAAATGTTTGAGTTTGGAAACATTGAGAAAGTATTCTGAACTTAGAAAGTTGGTACAAAAACACACAAGAACAGCTGCTTAAACAAAGAGATGCACCTTTCTTCAGTGGCACCACCTTCACCTTCTCCTTTGTTAGAGTAACATTTTTGTGTGGTGCTTCTGTCAAAGATAAATGAGTATGAAAATCAAAAGCCTGAGTACATTTTATAATTATGATTAACAAAGTTAAGTCTGCTCTTACCTTTAGCTGGGGCTGGTTTTGTCTTAATGGGAGCTGGCTCTAAGTAAAGAAATTTTAGGTTCAGTCTTGCAGAAAATAAGACACTGTGACACAGCATTCATACTGAATTTGTCAATCAAGCATGTATTGAGGAATCCTGAAACATGAAAATGACCAACTTGAAAAGGACAAAACTCAGCAGTAACATAACAATTTAAGCAAAATAAAAGCAGATTATGATACTTTGAGCATTTTTAGTTGGGTCATTATCACATGGCAGCGAAGCATATCGTCAGCAGCTACATGTCAGCGAATCAGTCGTGATGTGACGTGGGTTGAACATGACCGAATTAATATCAGCACAGTGCTGCGTGTGATGTTTCTACAGCAAAACAACACACGATTCTGCTGTATACCTTTCTTCTTTTCAGCAGGTGATGGTTTTGTCTTGGTAACAGCTGCTAGAATAATAAATGCTCCAATTAACTTGAATTATATTTATAAAAAGGTGAGAAACCACTGAAATACTGCTGTTATACATGTTAGATAATTAAAGGAAAAATAAGACCTGTGAAAGAGGTGAAAAGGTAAAAGGATACCTTTTTTGGGAGTCACTGGCTCAGCTTTCTTCTTCTTAAGAACCTCAGCTTCTAAACAATAGCAACAGAAAACATAAGGTCCAGTTTACTGCAGAGGACAATAATCTGGTTTCTATTATTACAGTCACAGGTGATTATTCCAAACTATGATGCTGTATAAAAAAAATACAAAAACGTGCATAGAAATACAAAAACTTCACATTCAAAAACATTGTTAAGTTCTAAATCTATGTATTGGAATTAGTATTAGTATTGGTAGATACTATTTGACTAGTAAAATGTTCAGTCACTATTTTTACCTGTTTTGGTTGGTTCTGGTTTGGCTCTTACTTTTGGAGTTACAGGCACTAACAGAGAGGAAAAAAGTTGCCAGGTTATGTTTGGAAACATTCAGAAAGTATTCAATAATTGTAAAAATATATATAAAAAACAACAACAACAACATAATAACAGTGCATGGTGGTAATCACACAAGAACGGCTGCTTAAACAAAGAGATGCACCTTTCTTCAGTGGCACCACCTTCACCCACTCCTTTGTTAGAGTAACATTTTTGTGTGGTGCTTCTGCCTCTGTAACAGAGAAAAGAGTGTGAAAATCAAAAGCTTGATTACTTTCAAAAAACTATTTAAAGGAAAGGTCAGCATCAGCTTACCTTTAGCTGGGGCTGGTTTTGTCTTAACTGGAGCTGGCTCTAAGTAAAGAGATTTTAGGTTCAGCGCTACACAATAATTCAGTTCAGTTTAATTAATACAGCCCCAAATCACAATAACAGCTGGATCAGAGTGTTTTATACTGTAAGGTAAAGACCCAACAATAATACAAAGAAAACAAACCCTAACAATCCGATGACCCCCTATTAGCAAGTGCTTTGGCGACAGTGGGAAGGAAAAACTTGCTTTTAAGAGGATGAAATATCCAGCAGGACCAGGCTCAGGGGAGGAAGACAGGACAATACTGAAACTCAATGATAACTGTTTCTTACCTTTCTTGGTTAGAATTGGTTTGAGCTTCTGTTTTGAAACCTCAGCTGATGTTAAAAACACAGAACGTGATGCTCAGTATGACATCCAGACCTCTTTCATGTTATTAAAATTTTGATCTTTGACATTGACATGATATACTGTACGTACTTGTCTTTGCAGAGACAGCTCTGACTTTCTCTTTTGGCATCTTGACCACTGATGAACAAAGAACAGACATCAGGTTACGGAGAATATCATTAGGAACAGTGGGATGCAAAAATCTGAAATCAGTGTAACATAAAATAAAAGTAGATTACCTTTCTTCATAGGCACAATTTTAACCCTCTCTTTCACCAGTGAGGCATTTCTTGCAGTACCTTGTTGTTCTGTCAAGAAAAAAAAAAAATATTTGTGAGATTTGCATGCAGCCTGTATAGTTAAGTTGGTGTTTCTTTGTGCATCAAAATATGCACCACACGTACCTTTAGCCAAGATCGCTGGTTTGGGCTTTTCTTTTGGAGCAACAGCTTCTGTATATGAAAAATA